AGCATGAAACGGTCAACATTGTCGTTGACAGCTTAGTTCTCGTTTAGGATCAAGGCGAAGCGTTTTTATCACACTTCCCGCTTAGGCGCGCTTTTTAAAATAGTGGCTATAACTGAAAACACCAAAAATAACAAATTAGTCGTTTTGAATTTTCTTTGTAAATTTTTAACATATTTTCAAAATCGCATTTTCGAAATTAGGAAAAATAATGCGTTTTCACTGTTTTGAAAAATCGAAAACAGAAAACGACTTGAAAATTGTAAAGAGAACGGACCATTAGTTTTCAGTACTCGAGTCTAGAGTATCGTTTGGTACTTAATATTAGATAATATTTATATTTTAAAAGTTGACAAGGGTCTCAATTCGGAAAAAGTAAATGGACAAGGGTTAAAAAGTCTAACCTGTGGTAACTTTCTGATTTAAAGTCGATAGATTGTTCGAGTTAGAGATTGTTTACCAAAAAGTACAGGTAGGTAGAGAGTCAGTCGAGTTGGTTTTCAAAGCAGTTTTGATGACAGTTTGTTTGGTTGAGATTATCGTGAGCCCAGTGTTACCTAGTGAAATCAATTTTGGATTCTATCCTTTTCGTATACCAGCGATCGTGCCATGCACATTATTTTTAAATCTTGTAAAATTATTATTTTATAATTATTAAATATTAATGAACCATTGATTTTTTCTTCTATGAATTTAAAATAACCATGGCAGCTTTTTTAAATTCATACATGTGCATCAAATCCAATAAAAAAAAATGGAAGTTTGAATAGGTTGGTTACTATAATTAAGTGGGAAAAGAAAATAATTGTTGTCGATTTTATATCCTGCAAATGTACAAATCGTAATAAATAATAAAGTAAATCTAATAGTCAGGATATCGTTTCCACGAAAACTATTATCTAACCGTTAGTTAAATTATTCATAATTTCAATTTGATTGAAAACAAATAGAAGTTGTTATTTTTCTTTTTGTGATTTTTTATTTTAAATAAACTAAATAATAAAAGTTGATTTTTTTAATATGACGGTTTAAGTGCTATGATTCACGAGTTCACCATAGTTTTCCCCTTAACATGAATTACCAAATTTTATAATGATTGATTATGTTTACTTGGCCGAATTTTTTTTAACATATTCAATTACCTCTCTCGAGATCAAATTTATTTTATTTAACTAAATTAATTTCATATCTTTATGTGGATCCGAATATACTTTAGTTAAATGCTTTAAATATCTAAGAATCCATATAACGTCCGCATTAACTAGATAAGGTGTCTCTACACTTTTATACTAGTTCTTGATTTTTACTACGTGATTTGAACAAATAATCCGCTTTCCGAACGCAATTATCGCTCACAAAAATCAATGAATTAGTGACCAATTAATATAAGCTTTAAGAATAAAAGTAAAACCATTTCACAAAATCAGTGAGAGATTTAAAACTTTTTAATTAAAATTAAGGATCAAAATTAGGTTGCAATCATTCATCTTAACTAAATAATTAGTTACACATCACGGGAGAATAATAATACAAGAAAGAATTAAAGTTCATGACTGAGTTTCAAGGAAAACAGGAAAAAGGTGAAGATCTTGCACAAAGATTCCTCCATTTTCTTGTAAAATCTTAAAATTCCGACTTCTTGATTGATTTTTTTATTTTTCCCTCATTTTGGGCTAGTATAATATGTGTACAATAAATTCTCAAAGTCTCGATTTGAATATGTGTGTACAATGAAACTATTTAAGCTTCAGCTTGAATATATGTGTCTAATAAAAATCTACAAACCTCTTTTACTCATTGGTCTTTTAACTTCTAATATTTATAATTAAGTCCTCTCCATTCTAAAATCATTATAGTTGACCCGAGGCAAGTTTCGATTGTTTGTAATTCACTCCCCAAACTTTTCAATTTTCGAATTTAACTCTTGAAAATTATGATATTTTTACCAAATACTCTATTAATACATCCAATTAATCTCTTTCAATCCGATTAATCTTCAATTGCTTCAAATCAATCCAATCAAATTCCAAATAACACGTTTTCACATAAATTGTATTTAAGTTAGAATTTTCTTACAATTAACATAATTACACAAATTAAGTATGTATTCGCTAAATTTACATATAAATAAGCCCCGGTTTGGAGCTCATTTTAATAAGTTTTTTTGTACAAAATCTTATTAATCTACAGTGAAAACTAATTAAAAAATGCAACAATTGAACCTACTTTGTCAGACTTAGCCTGTTTGTTTCGGATTAAAATCAGATTTTAATCTAAGTCAAATAATCAATATTAATCACATTTTCCATGGATTCCACAGTTTGTCAACAACACATTTCAAAAACTTCTATCACAATATACTGAAAATCTAATTTTAATCCCCACCAAATACCCATAAAACAGAATGTTGGAAATTGTTTGGACGCATTTACCCTCACCTAGCCAAGTCTATGTTAACCTGGAGCATGTTTGGATAAGCTTAATATCCAATTAAAAATGAAAATATAGTCGTTATTGGATCCCACTCGTTTATTAAAAGTCAACAATAACGACTAATTTTTCAATTTTAATTTCTACCGAATACGCCTCTAATAACTTGTAAGGGCAATTTTGGAAAATGATGTGAATTATATGCGGAACATTCCGTAGAAAAGTCAAAAAATGGTAGCTACCTTGGTCAGCAACAATTTCACCACGACTAAATGGGAATAGAAAATGTGTAAATAATGGAGGCCAAACAAATGCTAAGTGTGAATAAGTACATAAAATGCACTTATCAATAATTCTCACAAAATATAATTTTTTCAAGACATTTTGTTTTTTGACATATTTTTGTTAAAATTGATCATGAGAATCGTCAATATTTTCTTCTTGTTAGTGTAGATTATAGATCAAATATGAAAAGAATTGCAACAAAACTCTCAATCCAGGCCGACGTCATATTTACAAGTCGAGTGACCAAAATTTAACCATCGTAAAATATAGTGAACAATCAAAGATGTCTTTAAAAATATAATGAATAATCAAAATGTCTTTCAAAATATAGTGAGCAATCAATGATTGGTAGCAAAACGGCTTTTGGACACCATCTGTCCATTTCGTCAGCTATATCACCAATTTCGTTAGAGTCGTGAAATGTATGTATTGTCAATAATTAATATCCAACAATTTGATAAATCTAATGACCAAAACTCGATATGTGAAACTTTAGTACGTAGTCCTATAAATAGACGTAAGTTCAGTTATTATTGGATAGATTAACACTTAAAACGGTAAAGAACTTAAAATAGGGCTAATTGAGAAATTGCATTTTACTATTTCTCTGATTTCTTTCGACAAGACTTTAACCAAGCTGTTATTCGAAAAATTCCTGTGATTTCTGATTTGGAATTTGGACTGTAAAACTCAAAGAATGGAGGATTTTGAGAAGAAGGTGTCGATATCGGAACCAGTTAGCAGCAGCATGGAGGTTGAACAAGATCAAGAAGAGACGAATAGTAAAGCCTCTTCCCCCAAATCAATTGTAGACTTGCTCCGTAAATTCCTAGCCGTGCAGCAACGCCGAGCCCTTGCTTATGCCCGTCTTAAACGGTATGTCTTCTGTCCGGCGCCACCGCTGCGAAAATATATATATATACATAAAAGGAATTGTATGCAGATGTGTATTTTTTTCATCGGCGAGCGCGTAACTAGTATACACGGCTCATTTCGTAAAATTTAAACGTGTCAATAAACTATTGGAATTTTCTGAAGCCAATTCATACTCAGGAAAGACTCTTTTATATTTTTGTTTTTTGTTTGTTTTATACTTTCAATTATTAATTTTTATTCGTTTCTTTTGCTTTGTAATAGGCTTAACATTTCACGAGCGAACTCTTCTTTTATTAATTGTTATTTTCAATTGTTTAGATCCGTGATTTGATTTTAATACGTGGTTAAGATGTGATTACATTTGACATGATTTTTCTTCTATGGCAGGGGATTTGAAGACTACATGGCTTCAGGAGGTGAATCAGTTTATCAGCAACTTTGCAGTGAAATAACAGTTGAATTTAATGATTGTTCGAAGCAGGTAAATAACATTAACTGATAGTTTGTAAATGTTGGATTCCTGATTACAATGAATACTAAATCCAACAAAATTAGGAGTGAAACGTTGAAAGTTACACGACAGATAGATTCAAGCTTTCATGGTTTCTTCTGCAGACAGACTTGAATTAAAATCTTACCTGAACCATGAATTGGAGAATGGAGAGGGGGTGGTGGTGGTATTGTTCCTTGGCTATCCTATTATTTTCCTAACAACAAATTGTTTTAAAACTTTAAATTGTCTTTGCTATTCACAGGTTGTTGAAATAGAGTCTCTATTTCTGAGTCCTGATTGCTGCAGAGACGATCTAGCTCACTTGCTCAGATCTGTTCAAACACAAGAAAAGGATAAATTGCATTTGGTATGTAGCTCACATTGTGATTGGCTTTCTTATCTTATCTTTTCTTATCATGAGAAATGTTAATATGCTTCTAATAGTTTCTAAATTATTAATTTGATTGAACACACTGAGGCATTGCTGTCATTGTAAGGGACAATTCTGATATTTTTGTCCAGATTGCTAAAATCGCTTATCTATAAAGGGGAATAAATTATAATCGCTTGTTAAGAATATGCTTAAATTTTGCCAATTCTTCTGATTGTGAATCGTAGCAAAACCATTATTCAGCATTGTTTGTGACAAATGGTAGAACAACACAGAGAAAGAAAGAAGAAAATAGGTGAAATAAATTTGTACTAAACCCTATTCGTATTCTTGAAAATTTTCTCTTATTATCACTAAGTCATGCATAAAAAATGACCAACTTGAATATATTGTGGTTCATTATATTTTAGCTACTAATTAGATTTTATATACCAAACAGAGTAAGCGAAGTTAATTTACACTTAAACCTTTTTTCCTTAAAAAACCTATTGAAATGGTACAAAAGTTAAGTTTGCCAAACGGACACCCTTAGATTTTTATTTTTTACAATTATATGGTGGAATTTGAGCACAAGATACTTGTTTTGCATGATTATGAAGATCGCAACATTGTTTTCTTATGTCTTCATGCTCCCTTTTTGACTAGCCACTTTGTTGAACTCTAAACAAGTCAATCTTTGTCATTTTTCAAAATTTGACCTACATTCTGCCTGACACTCGTCATTTTTCATATATATTAGGCATCAATAGTGCGTCCTGTTAATGCATGCACGTATATTCGCGGCTCTATCATATGCTAATTATAAAGTCTCACCATATCTCTTGTGGGTAAATGTAGTTTCTAGATAACTGGCGCAAAGTTGTCTTCAAATTCGTCTTTGTTTGCTTTCATTGCTTATGTGCTAGGCACAGCATTTGAAGTTCTTTTCTTAATAGTGCACGTAGTGAACTTCGTTACTTTTCATTTATTATCTCGTTTTTGCCATCTCTCTTTCTTCAGTATTGACTTCATTTTAAATGTTTTGAAAAAGTAATACTCCACCAACGGTTTAACATTGCCAGAAAGAAACAACTTGCTCTGTGATATACTCGTGACATGTCAACAATCTCACTATTGGAAAAGGTAATATTTTTTGTGTTGGGTATTGTAGAAGAAACCTGTGGATAAGAAAGCTCCTTAATTGCTTAAAAGTTGATAGTGGAGTTATTAGTTGAAGGGCATATGAATAGGAAAATGAAGATCTGGTTAAATTGTACAGTTAATTATTCATTAATAATATTCAGGAAAGGCAGATAGCATGGATGACTAATGTTGGACAATTAGTACACATTGTCTATGGTTCACAACATGAACGCTGACGACTTGTTGCAAAAAGAAAGCCTACACGAGTTCATGTCCTATTGTTGTATTTATTGGCAAAGCTGTGGATCATGCATATATGTTTTTGGGTTGTATCTTCTCTAGGGGATCTATGGTGATATCTTTAGTCTTTGGCTAAGTTCTTTGACAATTCTCTACCTTGAAAAGTTTCGAGGGTTTGGATTTGGTAAAGATGGTAGGATTTTGTGTCCACAAAGTTGACAATCAGAACTACATTTATTCTTGTATATTACTCGAGATCTATGGTGCAGATCATTCTCAGTTCATGATGTAGTACTCTGATTTCTTTGAAAACTTTCTTTCTTGCGAAGTCTTGGTAAAGAAGGAAGGACTTTGCAGCATTTATGTAGTGTTGGTGATTGCATGGTACATTTAATTAGAGAACGAAGCTAAAACTTTTAGTATTGAGTGGTTTGCTTCTCCTCATGGCAAAAGCTTTTAGTTCTTTTAGCGGTTTAGTTCTTTCGAAACTGCTGCTGGTATGTGCAGCATGTTTGTTAACATTTTTATTTAGTTTCTTTTTGGAGGCGTCCTTGTTTTGCTCCATTTACACTTCCTTATCTTGTAATAAAAATGTCTTTATTTACTTTTAGAAACCAAAATGCTTCACGCAGATGATATATGACTATGAAATTGCTATTAGACTATTTATAAGCGAGTGTTTAGCCTGCTCTTGGATCACATATTAAGCTGATATCTCTGGAGTGCTTTCTGGGAAAGTACCTGTGAAATAAAATTATACGCTTTATACCTCCCATGCACCATGCAAAAGGATCTCTCGTCTTAACCCCGAAAGAAATGAAACATAAAAATCAGCTTATGAGCTTTGGACACTGTTTGTTCCAAAATGCTAGACATTTCTTTTTGTAAAAATATTTTTGTACATATTGTTATTTAAACACCTTGCAACTTTTAGGTACTAAATTATAGATTGGTAAGAAAAAACTACTCTGCTTAAGTTTTAGGGTACTTATTCTGTTGTCCCTACTTGTGTGCTTCATTTGCTTGCAGACTGCTACTATTCAAGTGTTGAAAAAGGCTGGCCGTCCCTCTGAACGTTTGGTAAGCCATGAAAACTGCAGATTCGGGCATTCAACAGGACATGAATGTGTTCATATCCAGAATATAACTGAAGCTTCTGGAACTGAAGAGGCAGAGGCTGATGCACAATACGATAATGCTCTCAAGGAAGCCATTAAAGGTGTGCAGGAAGCAGTCATTGCCATAAACGAATACCTCGAAGAAATCAGGTACGAAATTGCAGCTCTTGAAGCCGAATGACTTCACATTTTTTAGTTAGTTCCTATGAATGGGTTGGCAATGCAAACACTTCTCCTAGACTTTAGCACTTATATATTGCATCCTAAATTTTCATTCGCTGAGATGCCATCGGGTTAGTAATATGCATGCTGAGATACAAATTTTTAAACCCATGCCTCCTCGTTCGATGGGTTCTTAGATGTTCAAAACTCATTATAAAGATTGGGTTTCTATTGGCTGGGGAACAATATTGATGGGTTGAAGTATATTAGAACAGAGTTATTCTACAATTTATCCTTTCTTAGTTTTATAAGTAAAATTGGCAAAGACAATAGTGCACTTTAAACATTAGTTTTGTATTTGAAACTAAGAGTCTTTGGTGACTTAAAGGGAGAGAGATTCTGTGTCTTTACTTCATAAATTGCTTTTGTCCCATTGAAATTTTACAAGTAAATCAAATTATGTAATTAAATCAGTTGACATTGAATTTTACAACGATCTTCTGATAAACAAAGATCATTGTGTAATTTAATTATTTTAATAGAAGGAAGATAATTAAGCAGAGACTTGTATTGCTGAAAATAATCGAGAGATAGACTCTTTAAATCAAGAGTTGAGGTTTGGAGGCAGATGCAGGGCTTGTTTGGCATGATTTTTGAAAAGTCAAAAGAAGTTTTCAAGTACCTAAAAAGTTGCTTTTGGATCTGTTTGGCTAATTTTATGAGAGTTCTTCTGATATTTAGAATAATCTTGAGAGTAAATTGGTTGTGGCTTCCTCTAAAAATAAAAATCATATCAAATGGGCCGTAGTTCAGTTGATAAAATAGGGACGAGTGGAGTGCACAAGTCAGACACGGAACAAGACAGGTTGCTAAATTCATTTCTTCTTTCCTAATCCTTGAGGAAGGAATAATGTCTTCATCTATTGATTTTTTTTATTTTTTATTTCTAAAAAGTTGTAAAATTGTCGGATTGAAAATCCAAATTCGTAATAAAAAAAAATGTATAGAGATGCATACCAATGAGTCTCATCCTTTGCAAAAGAAAATGAGTAAAAAATTAGAAACCCAAGATAAACGATCAGCACAATAAAACATGTATCCATGTCCTTAATCAAGAAAATAGCGATGAGAAAATAAAATTTACCTCAGACCCAGAAAAGTGAAGCAGAAAAAAATATTTGAGCCGAGAGTTGAATAAGAATCGATTTTTACACGAAATTAAACCATACAAATGTTTTATTTTTGACCGTATTCATCAACCAAATTAGCTGATGATAATAACAAATTGAGGTACCACAAATGAAATGCACCATACCCACTCTGAATATTGCAATTTCAAAAAAAAATAAAACCATAATCAAATGTTAGCTGAATATATTCACATCACTGTTTTTAATCACTAGACTACATTTTAATTTCACAAAATGTTCATAATTTTTACGCACTATTACATTTATGTCTCAATTTTTTTTATATAGTATTCTTATTCTAAATTGTTACGGATTATCATTTCTCTCTTAAAATTTTCTTTTGGAATAGAGTAGAAAGATTAATGTGCTCGTTGTATTTTAAATAAGCAAAACAAATAATAATATAAAAATACGATTAAATATTTAATCATCATTTTAAAGTACGTTAACAAAATTTTTGGACAAAAAAATGATGGATGAATTGTGAAAAATAAGAATGTGATGACGATAAAAGTTAAGTATATAACTATGATAACGAATAAAGATTAATAACTTTTAATGTAATTAAAATGTTGTATATATTTAAAAATAATAATAATAATAATAATATGGTGGGAATATTTACCCTCAAATGTATTAAAAGAAAGCTAAATTTACAAAATAAACGCATTTACACTTTACCGACCTTTTTACCAAATTTATACCTTACACAACCGCTGTCGCACTACCAAAACCATCGCCGACGACATTGTGACCCATAGCCACCGGCACAGTCACAACAGCAGAAGAAAAACCACCGCCAGAGTCACTGCCACACCATAGCCAACCGTTGTACGCCCAAAAACCACAGCCACCACAGACCAAAACCGTTACGCACTACCGTCACAACCAACCAACGCATCCAAAAACAAAAAAAAAAAAGATACGAAATCGTTGACGATTGCAGCTCGCTGCTCGTTGCACAGCTTTGCCGACGATCGCACATACAACTGCTCGCTGCTCGTCGACGTCGACGACCTTGGGATGGAGACGACACAAAGGAGAGAGAGAGAGAGAGAGAGAGAGAGAGAGAGAGAGCACATTTTCCAATTTTGAGTTTTTGAAAATAATTTTTCAAAATGACAAAAGAATGTATTTTCAATAATCTCAAAATGGACACTTAAACACACAAAATTCAACGAAAAATTGAAACACGAATAGAACAGCTCCTAATTCTTTCTCTTCTATCCAAGCATTTTATATATTGTAGATATACGTAGACTGTAAATGTAGATGTAGATGTTCTCAAACGTCAACAGACTCGATAGAATACATAGTGACTTTCTTTCCACATGCTCAAAGACACTTAAAAGTACCATTTGCTGGTTCATAGTTAAAAAGTGTTCAGTCGTAAATTTCAAATCAGTAATGAATAAATAAATATTTTGTAAGGGTTTCAGTTATTCTTAGAGCCTAATTGGAAGTGAAAATGAGCTGCTGGTTCTATGAAATGTTTGAATAGTAGGTGGATAGGAGTTGTAAATCCTACTTAATATTTGGATAAAAAGTATATTAAATCTATTTGAGCCACATTATTTTGGAAGAATGTATTTTGAAATAGTAGATTGATGGAGAATGTTTGGTTGAAAAAAAAGGAAAAGTTATTGATGTGATGAAAAATATTATTTTATTAAAAAATGTATGGTTGAAAATAAATAGGAGAATGAAAATGAAAATGAAAATGAAAATGTGATTCAAGCAGGGGATTAAATTATAATGCAAGCTTTGCTAAACATGCAACCTTTTCAATGGAATTCCAATATCAAAATTTTATTAAAGTCCACCAAGTTCAAACAAGTAATTCAATCCATTTCGAGCTAAAAAAAATGATCGAATTTTCAAGATTTGTGTTCTTAAATGAGTCAACATTTTTCGCAACCATCCTTTGGATATCAACAACCTATCTAAGTAATATATATTTGTTTGACAATTTCTATTATGGGGTTTATATGTACTCGTCTATTTTGTTAAAATGGAAATTGAGAATTTTTTGTTTTATTGGAAAAAAAAAATCATCATTGGTTTTGTCTCTATTTTATTTTATAATATTATTAGAAAAATACAATTCGGAGATGCAAATCAAGAATCGTCAAATTCAAGATTGGTAGTTTAAAATAATTAATATATATAACTTTGTTTATATATATTTCTCTCTTATTTTTAATCACATATTCTTCAATAAAATAATATTATACGTAAACTTGAAAAACTTCTTTATTTTTTAACTATACTAGTGTGGTTAACGTGCGTTGCGCGTTAGTTGTTTAATGTTGAAAATAAATATATCTGACTGTCAAAAGAAAATGGGGGGCATAATATCTGATTGCTAAAAGAAAATGTAAAAACAAAGTTATGAACTGCTAAAGTCATGTTGAAATGTTGTGATAATTAAAAACATAAATATGAAGCAGCTGTAAACGGAGAATTTCATCTTCCTATGCTACGTACAAAGTTCAATCATGCATGGTACTCCAGTTATTATCCAAATTGAAATGAATAACATAGCCAAGAAACGTTATCGAAAATTATCACTAACCTTTTGTTTGATAAGAATATATGCCTACAAAATGTTTGATAATACTGCTAAATATTACTTCTTCCGGAGATTCACAAGTTTGGCATTTCATGGTCATAAAAATTTTGTTCAAATAGATGTTTCTTAATTCTGATATCAATCGCTATGACTATGTAAATAAATATGAAATATTACATTGATTTCAATTAAAGAAAAAAACATGATCTTTGAGAATGAGTTTAATGAAGCACCTTCATAATTTTCATATAAAATATTCTCTCTTAATCCTATCAAGTTAGGTCACAAGGAAAATATGTATCCAATCTTGTATCCAGTTTGTTCATCACCCCGCCCCCTCTCTGTTTATGGTGGTGTACGTCACTTCCTAACACTCTAATTATCTATTACCTCAGTCCTAATGCAACATAAAACACTGACGTTGAACGTGAATCTGATACCTCAGGTAAGTTCCAAACGTTAATCCCAAAATACTGTATTATAAAAAATGTAATGGCATGTCTCTCTCAAATGATTTGAAGTTACAATATAGACACTTGGTTGAGAAATTATTTACTCCAAGTATTTCCTAATGTCAAAGTTATATAAAATATTTTATGAATGTCATACACCTCTCTAGAAATTCAAGGCACTTTTACCAAATCACGGTGTCCTAAAAATATTGTATGTCCAATTCTACCAAGATAGTTTGATGCGACAAACAGCAACCTGGATAGTTTTAGAAGATTTCTTCTTGCATGAAGCGTGGACATTCTGAAGTTCATAGCTTATTCTTTTATAGCTTTTAAAGTTGTACTTTATGAGAGTTATCAGATATCATTAGAAGGATAACAAAAACATACCAAGGCCTCTTTCAATAAATTTGGGGTTGGCTACTAGAATCCTAATTAAGACAGACATCTCTCCCCATACTAAATTACTACCCTATCTTCTAAAATATATTGGTGTGTTTATCATCCTGTAAGACTCCTTAATAGTTGTAGATTCTCTGTGGTTAATAATAGTTCAAAAGTCTCACTGATATATCATTTTACTCCTGTAAAAACATCATTTATAGTTTTACCTTTTCCGTGGTTAAAATAACTAATTCATAGTTCTAAATTTTCCCTGATACTTGAAGCATATCTAATTGAAAACACCATTTCTCAGTTATCTTAGGTGGAAAAAATCAATCTAACTCATATTGCATCTACAACAGAAGAACCTTAAATAAACACATTAAAATGAAGGCAAGGAACAATGATCATATGGAATGAT